TTTCTATTTTTACTTTGTCGCCTTTCTTAAGTTTGAAGCCCGGCATTCTTTCTTGTTTGTCTCTTTTGACTAAATTGTTAAATATATAGTCTTTCTCTAAGTCAGGGTTGTTTTTCATTTCTTCGGGGGAGTGGTTTCCCAAACCTTTTTGTTTACGGCTATTGTAAATATTTAAAACTTGTCTCATCTTTGCCATGGAGAAGTGTCTATACTTGTCGTCATATGACATTTCATTTGCTTCACCACCTTGTGGTTGGTTTAAGTCTCTTAAGATTTTTATACAACTGTCAATGACACCAAGAGCAGAATGGTTTTGGTCGACAATGAAATATTGGTTTACATTTTTTGAACGCAGATAGTTTTTTACATCGTCTGATTTGAAAGAACTTTCACAGTCAGATGTCAGTTTTGTTGGATGGTATTTGTCAACGAATATTGTCAAAGCTGCTAAGATCTCTAAAATATTTTTGGACTGTAATGGTATGGCTTCACAGTATCTTGTGTTTTGACCGACAAATATTAGCCAGTATGGTGGTCCATCTTCTCTATACCTCGGAATGTTTTCCAAGATATCCATAAACCAAGCATTTGGTGTTGAACTAAAGATTTTTATCATGAGTGCTTTCTTTGTCGCTTTAGAAACATAGGGGTCCTTGTTTGGATTCGTCATTTTTTACCCTATAAGAAATGGGTTTATTTGGCGCATTAGCAGGAGTTGCATCCAGATTTTTGCCCGCAGTGGGAACAATAGCCAGAGGTGCATTTGGAATTGGAAGGAAGATTTTGAGTACATTAGGTATACTGAAAGAGAAAGCACAACCTATTATACAAACTGTACAGAAAGGTTGGGAGGTAGCACGAGATGCACAAATCTTATTCCAAATCCTGAAACAAGAGGAAAAGTTCAAGGATGGATGGACAATGTAGGAAGAGAAGCAGGAAACTACTATATAACAAAGCAAATGACTACTATAACCAAGCAGGACACTATATGGACCAAGGTGAAAGATTCTTTAACAGAGGATATAACCATGCACAACAGTGGGTAAACAACAACCAACCTCAACCGCCTCAAACGTGGGGAATGTAAATTTTTTTACTGAGATGAAATGAACAATACAGCATTGAGACAAATGGGTTCAAGATGGATTTGTCGACTTCCAGCAGTTACACAACCACGTGTTTGTCAAGTTCTTCCTATACCTCAAGAAGTTTTAGACCGACTTAAAAAACCTAAACAACCAGTTGAAAACAAACCAAACTAAAATTTTTTACTGAGATGAAATGACCGAAGAAGTTGAAACGGTAGATTTGACACCACAAACAAAAAGTTCAGAACCATTGTCAAAACCCGTCAAAGAACTTACAGATGAAGAGAAAAATTCAATAATAGAAAGTGCCAGGTCTGGAAATACAAACCCTAACTACAAAGTCACTTTTCATAGAAATGGAACGGCTAGTATCTCAAAAAAGAAACAGACTCTCACAAATAAAATATTGAAGTCTGAAGGAGCTTTCGAGACAACAGATGGAAAAGTTTACTTCACTGACCAACAGTTCATTATAGAACATCTCATTGACTTAGAGTCGAAATATTCTAAACTTTACAACAAACACAAAAAGTTGAAAGGAAAACAAAAACAAATGGCATATGATATTTATGAAGATGTTGACGACACAACCATACCTGCAAGTGAAGTAAAGTCAGGTGAACCGAAAAGTGACGAAAAACCGATAGAAGAAGGAGCCAAAAACTGAAGATAAACCAAAACCAAAGTTAGTTTCCAAACTAAACCAAGTCAACCTTCATTAGCTGGTATGGGTTGGCGTCAAAGACTTATGGCAGCAGGCGGTTATGTAAAGTAAAGAAAAAAATATTTTTTATTTTTATAAAAATGCCCCCTATAGAATGGATAGAAGGTCTGCTAGAATAAAAGCAGAGTTAGAAAGATATGGCTGGAGAGTTTCAAAGAATTTTAAATATAGGAAGGGAAGACCCATAAAAGTTTATGACAAACTGGCTGGTCTGACCTACGAAATGGACTTGGAAACAGCGCGCACAAATTATCCAAACAGATTAGAGAGGTTAGAAGAAGAACGTCTTATGGACATGCCTTTCGATGTTAGTGAACCTCAAGTTGAAGGACACGACGGCTTTGCCAGATTCTACTGGAAACATGACGAACAATTGCATCCTTTGAGAAGGAAAAAAGGTAGTGCAGAGGATGGTCATGCTCCCATGGAAAGAACAAGATATACATATGAAAAGTATCGTGAAGTTAGAAGTAAAATTGGTTCAGGTCAAACCTTTACAGTAAACTTTGACGATGGAAAGAACAAAGAAGGCTTCATGGGAGTACTTGCTGCAATTCAAGACGGAAATAAGAAAGGATACAATCTCAGATTGACCATAACAGATTTGGATGGTCACATTTACTATGCACATGGCAATGTCACAACAGCTGCAATGCTTCTTGACGCTTTCAAGACTACAAAGAGAGAACAAATGGTTGACTCCGACTCAGACATTTTGAATGCAATTGAAGGAATTGTAAGCGTGAAGTTCGAATGGTACCAACCTAACCCTCAAGCAGTCAGACAACATGCTGGATACTTCCCGTTCATAAATAAGTCTGACATTGACTTGACAAGGTATGGAATTTACAATTCAATTGAAACAATTGTCAATGAACCTTGTATTCTTACATGTCTCAGGAACTCTGGTCTTGTTACAGAAGAGAAGATGAAGTATCTTGAGTCATGTGTGAAGACAAGGTACATTCTCAGAGGTCAATTGGCAAAAATTGCACCGTTGGCAAATGTCAATATCCGAGTCAACATACCTACAGCTAAAGGTTCTTCACATGACGACTATGTTGTTGACAAAGACTTACCATGGTTGAAGATTGCAATTGTCCACAACCACTTCATGTTGAACGAAAGTCTTACAAACCCATTGTTCGGAAAAGGCAAGTGCAACATTGTCAGAGCTGTAAACATTCTTTTCGAGAAAGGTTTGTTGGAACCAATTCCAGATGACAAGCTGACAGAAACTTTTGTACCAAAAGACGAAACAAACTTTTCATTGTTAGCAAGACCAAAAGTTGTTCCAGACAAAGTTATAGCACAAAAGAAGTACACTGTTCCAAAAGGAGTTGGATTGTTCGGATACCAACCTGAACCAGAAGAACTTCCAATGAGGTTGCAAGAACTTCAAGATGCTATAAACAAACTTCCATTGAGACATCCAATTGACGTCAAATTGTATTGGAGAGCATCGGAGTTAGGTCAGAAGGTTTTATATGAAACAGGTTGCTTCGACGATGTTTATGAGATAGCAGGCGAAGTTTCTCAGAAGATAAGAGACTCACTTGAATTTCCACGAACTGGACCCATTGGTTGCGACAAGTTCGACTCAAACGAAAAGATATACTATGTCGACCTTAACGCTGCATACATGAGGTTCGTCCAATATATCCCGACTGGAATTCCAAACGAAGATGGTGAGTTCCCAGGAAGGAACTATACAGTTGGAAAAGTCATACAACAACTGTATGATATTAGGAAAGCTTCAAACCCCAAACTTGCAATGACACTCAAATTGCTTATGAATTCGACATGGGGATATTCCATTAAGAAACCTCAAGAGATGAAGAGTAAACACTATGAGAAGGTCGACAACTTTGTTGAAAGGTTCTCCCCTTTTGTTTTGAAATACGAATTTACTCAAGGTCAAGGTGGCTTAGTAACCACAGTAAAACCTATTGTCGAACATTGGTCTTATCCTCAGTTCGCAAAAGCAGTCCTTGACAACTACAATGAGTTCTTCTCCGAGGTCAAATCGAAAGTTGTGGTATACTACGAGAACATCGATGCACTCATGACGAACGAAGAAGGGTATAACAAACTCATTGAAATGGGAATGGTCGGTGAAAAGATGGGTCAATTCAAATTGGACAAAATTTTCACCGAAGTTCATGTCCTCTCCAAGCGTAAGTACTGGGGCATACTTGAAGACGGCACAGAAATAAAACATTGCATGAAATAAAAAATTTTTATTCGAATTTGAATCGGACAGGTCGAGTTACACCATTCTTGGTCTCAAACTCATATATAACCTGTTTGTCTGTATTTTCGTCGACTATGGCACGAGACACGAACATTGACCAAACGTACAAAAAGTGTCATTTCGGATGGTCAAGCAGCCAATCGCATTCGAGCACTTCGAAGAAGCCTTACGTTCCAAGGAAGAGGGTGTCTGGTGCAAGGCAGAGGTCATGAGACTCTACGAGCAGTACATCCTCAATGCCTGGGAGGACAAATCGTCCTTGGATTGGCAAATCTACCAACTCCTCTGGGACGACCTCCTACGCAACTGGGAGAACGAAAGAGTCCAATTCAAAGGTCGGGAACTAATTTTGCAAATTGACCTTAATTTCACATACTTATCCAAATAAACACCTAAATTTACTTGGGGTTTCCCCCTAAAATAAAATTTTTTTACTCTTAGAACCACTCGAGGTTCTCCTTACGGTTGTTGAGCTTGTCACCGTCAATGTGTCTGACCTTCGTCTTCTTGCCTGGATTTGGAACCCATTGAATTGCGACAAGCTTGCCCATGGAAATTGAACCGCGATTCCGAAGGTTAAGGTTCAAGTGTCCCAAGTTGTTGAGGACTGGGGTAAGAACCTTGCCGGTCTCCCTGTTGCGGATTTGGTATGGGTAGGGTTGGGAAATTTCGTAAGTGTCATCGGCAACAAGGGTTGCCCAAACTTCCTCTTCTTCGTGTTTCTCTTCTTCCTCTTCTTCCTCTTCCTCTTCTTCGTGTTTCTCTTCTTCTCCTCGACAATTCCTTCTTCAATTCTGTGTTCACGAATTACGGTGTTGCATGTTCTGTCCTTTCCGAGTACCTTCCAGATGGCGTCTATCTCTTCGAAGAAACGGTAGATGAGTCTGGCAAGGTCTCGGTTTCTCTCTCGCGTAAATGCGCAAGGTTTCCGTCAAATCATTCAGGCATTTCTCATTGGAAGCTTGGTTCATGAGGACATCGGCTTTGAGCTTGGTCATCTCTTCCATAAGACTACTTTGGAGAGTCTTAACGGTGTTTGTCAGATGAGCTTTCAAATTCAAAATTTGAATTTGAACTGGGCGCTTGTCTGGCAACATTGAAAGGACATCTGCCATTGTGTTCGGCTTCGGTGCTTGTTCGGACATCGAAAAAATGAAGTGGTTTGAGAATGACGGTTTTACTTCAAAAAGCTTGTTATGACGGTTAAGTCATACAACAAGTTTAAAATAATATCTTGTTCTTCTTCTGAACGTTTGTTGTCTCTTCCGATAAAAGTTTCGAACATGAGAACCAAAAAACGTTTTTGAGATTGCGGAAGAGTTCAGGCAAACGTTCATATTCTGGATATGTTGGGAGCAGTTCAAAACATCTGAGCTGACTTTCGGACAAAATTGGGACAATGTCAGAAAATTCATCTTTGGTCGGACTGCTTGAAGGTAAGTCCCTTACATGTAAGTAGCTCTGGTAAAGTCTTCTCATTTCTGCTAACTTTTGGAGTATAGCTTCGTAGTTTAGAAGTTTTAATTTTAAATGTCTTATTCCACTCTTGACATCTAAACGGTAACTATCCATGAGGTCAAGAGTAGCTTTGGTAGCTTTAAGTGGAGCTATCTGTTCCTTGACTTCTGCAATTTTGGTTGCAATTGTGATTTGAGCTCCTTCAAGTTCGCCGTCTATGTCGTTCTCAACGCCTTCAACCATGGCTTGAAACTCTTCATCGGTCCATTGAGATTGGTGTGGGACGAATTTAACTTGCTTCATTCAAAAAATGAAAAAAATGTTTTTACTCTAAACGTGCCATGTATATGGCTATAAGAAACTTACCCAAAGGCTTCTTCTTCACATGAGTCTTTGGCAACTTGAGTGTTGGTGTTGGAGTTCTTGGGGGAGGTGGCTCTGAAATTTCAAATCTCTCTCGAGCGCAACAACAGATGTCAGAATAACATTCCCCACTGTCCTTCTTGCCACCATAAACTGTGTATTGACCAAACTTGCATTTACAGGAAGACCGGTCAATACAAGTTCACAGTTGAAATAGTTGTACACAAACCTGTTGAGTACGAGTGTGAGTAAAACATAAAAAAAGTGAAGTGAAAATGAGATGTTTACTGAACTGGTTGGATGTCGCCTTCACAGGTTATGTAGAACGGCTGACCCGAGAAGTGAAGGAGAGACTGAATTGCCAATTTCATATGGGGTAGGGGGTTCTCCTTGTTTGGTATTTTTATCCAAGGACGTTTGTTTAGGAACTTAACAAGAGCTTCTCTTTTGGCGTCCTTTATGCCATCGTAGGCTGTCCCGTCTGGTATTTGAATTGGAATTCCAGTCGAAGTCTCGAGCTGAAGTGTAGACCTTCCAGAAATAGTGGTGAACTTGACCTTGGGCTTCATTACCCTGCGCAAGTACTGCTTAACAACTTCATTTATCTCTATAAGGTAAATTGCCTCGTCAAATCCTTCTGGTATTCCGAGTCCTTCCATCCGACAGGAAAATATTTTCCCGACAACTGGAAAAAATTTTCCCGACAACTGGAAAAAATTTTCCCGACGACAGGAAGGACGCTTCCAGTTGTCCGTCCGTAAACCATTCAAATTTTCGAAAATTGAGAACTTTTTGGTCGAACTTCAGGAAAAATTTTTCCTTCCAACAGAAAAAGTTCTTCCTTCCGACAGGAAAAGTTCTTCCTTCCGACAGGAAAAGTTCTTCCTTCCGACAGGACACAAACGAATGTCCCACGTCCCACCAACCGAGTCCATTCCCAAACCAGAAGAACCGAAAGCTGCAGAACCACAACAGTCTCCTCAGCAACCTCAGTTCCAGCAAGTACCTCCGAATTACTACCAATTTCCACCTCAAGGTTACTACCAATTTCCACTACAAGGCTTCCCGAACTACCCTCCTCCTCAGCCTATGCCTTACTTCCCCAACCCTTGGATGTTCCAGCAAGCTCCACCCCAGCAATTCCAATCTCAATCCCAATCGAAGAGAGACCAAGAGTTCGAAGAAGGTCTGAACCGTTTACGCAAAGATTATGCCACAGCCCCTATGGAAGACGACAGGCTTTCAGTCTCTTCCCTCAAATCGACCGATTCGACTCGTACCACAGATTCGGTTCGTGACCGTGAAGACTACCTCAAGCAGTCTGAGAGACTCTTCATCCTACAATCATTTACAGTTGGAGCTCTCAAGAACATGCGCAATTACGAAGGTCAGACACCAGCTGGAGACCGCAAAACAGACGTGCTTACAAGAGCAGTCCAACTGGTCAAGACAAAGACCGAGATAGTCGACTTCATTCTTGCAGCTTGCCCATACAAGTAAAAAAATAAACAATTACGAGTTAAACTTTTTATTCTTTCTTTTCTGAGTTGTTTAGAGCTGGTTTCTCTTGTAGGAACCTTTCGTACTCTTCCATGGTCATGTAATTGCGAATTTGGTACGCAATTCCAGGTTCGTTGTTTTTGAACCTTACGTATGTAACGCTTCCATCCTCCTCAGGGAAGTAAACTGCTAACATCTGACCAAGTTTTCTCGGTGACTCGGAGCTCATAAAAATGTCACTTTTTAAACGTTAAGTTTTTAGTCTTATTTTACCCTTTGTTTACCCTTTGTTTGTCAATGTAGTATTGGAGTGCAATTTCTCCAAATTCTCTGTGTCGGAGTTCTTCAGCATTTTCCAAGGTGTGCCTGGAGAACTCAAAAGAAGTTGTCAAGAACATACTGCCATGCTGCTCTTCTGAGTTCGTCGGTATTTTGGAAGTGTTGCACCTTCGAGTCTTCGGACATGAAAAAAATGACACTTTTTCAGCAAAAATAATGTTTATGTTAGAATGTTAGATCTAACATGTTTTCTAACACGTTTTCTAACATGGTCTAAAACTCTTGAATTTTCATGAAATTTACACCAAAAATAATGTTTATGTTAGAATGTTAGATCTAACATGTTTTCTAACACGTTTTCTAACATGGTCTAAAACTCTTGAATTTTCATGAATTTTCCCGAAATACAGAATAAAAAATAAAATTAGTTTTATTTTTATTTTATTTATTTTTTTTATTTTGTATAAAAGACATGATTTCAACAATCGGCACAACAACAATTCAAACAACTACAGCACCAAACTCGCTAGTTATGAATCCAACATCTATGTTAGTAGAGATGAAAAACTTCATTCCTTCTTCATATACTTTCGAAACAAAAATCCAGAAGATAAAGCAAGAACTTTTAACAAGTAATTTAGACTGTAGTGCGAAAGATGAAACAAATGAACAGTATCTTTATGAAATGCAGGACATTATTGACCATTTACCCAAATTGCCTGAAATCCAACAACAAAACTAACCATTCCCGAATTTGACGAAATAGAAGTCAAAGCAACTGACTCAGTAGAAATAAAGAAGTTCATACGAAAGGTAAATTATGAATTCCTTGGTTTCATTGCAACCATAAGGTTATGGACAAAGATTGCGACATGGTATATAAGAACATCTCTGACCTTTACAATCCGAAGAATTTAAGACCTACGACAACTTTGTTTCGTTAGTTGCAAAATGTGTTTGGGAAATAAGAGATAAAGATAGTAGGGGTAAGGTATGGAACGAACAAATAAAACCCGCTATGTTCGAGATGAAGAAAACCATTGACGCCTTAGTTGTTTTAGCAGGTAAGGTTTCAGAATATAACGCAAAAATGAACCCGCAATGTTCAAAATGTAAAGCAGCAATGAGGAAATATAACTACTCCGTCAAAGAGATAGAACGTATGCGAAACGACTATGCAGATTTAAAGAAAGAAGCAGAAAAAACCAGCAGAAGATAAAAGAACATGTTAGAATTTCTGAACAAAAACTATCCAACCGCTAACGATTTCCTTCTTTCAGATGTCAAGAAGAAGTATAAAGAAACTTTCGGTATCGTTAAAACTTTTGACATACTGACAGAAGAAATAGAAGCTACGAAATTGTTTAGAGTCATGAACCATCGCAACATATACCATGTAAAACGCTTGTAAATAGTTATGTTAGAAAACATGTTAGAAAACATGTTAGATCTAACATTCTAACATAAACATTATTTTTATTGAATTCCGTATGAAATTTCATGAATTTTGTATGTTTTAGACCATGTTAGAAAACATGTTAGAAAACATGTTAGATCTAACATTCTAACATAAACATTATTTTTATTGAATTCCGTATGAAATTTCATGAATTTCCTCGGAAAACCGAGAGAAGAACAGCGAGTAGTGAAAAAACCCTGGTCGCCAAAACTCTTTATTTTTGCTGACTTTTTACAATTTGAACTTTGTTTGCGTAGATATGAATTCTGAAAGAAGTATGAGGGTCTTGTATGACTTTGTACTTCTCCCATAGTTCATGTCTGTCAAACTTACCTGCCATGGACTCTTTCATAAGTTCCATGAAATCGTCTTCGGACAATCCAGGGAAAAGTATAATGTCAGTAAGTATTCTCTTTACATCCTTACTTAAACTCTTTGCTGTCTGTACACATATTACGACTGAGATGTTAAAGTGTCTGAGCTTCTTAAGAATTCGACACATATCTTGTTCTCTATTCTTTAACAAGGATGAAGAGGCGAATCATCTAAGATAAGAAGACATCTGTGTAGGGTAAGTCTTCCAATCGTAAGATTGCAATTTCTTCGAAATGTATTCTATCTCTTTCTGTTTGTTTCTTGAAGTGTTTTCTTCTCTAATATTCTCTGCATTTCCTCATTTGGGTCTTTAAACTTCGAATTTATATACTCATTTATAGCATTATACTTCAAAACTCTTCTTTGGTACTTCTTTATCCAATCTAACAACTCAGTATCCTTTATACATACTAACTTGACTTCTTTATAATATCTTTGAACGAATTGACGGTTTGGTCAAATTGACCAGAAGTACTACAAATACAACTAACTCATAGAATGGGTTCTTCTCATCTAGTTCTTGTTGTTGTGCAGCCATTTTAAGATAAGTGAAAGTCTTACCGACCAGGTGGTGCAATTAGACCTGTTATACCATTCTGAGCAAATAAGAACTTGTCATGTATAGGCTTTATCTGAGCATTTTCTAACTTCCTCTTGTTCTTGTTTAAAACATTCTCAAATTTTTTGTCAATGTCAGCAAACTTTTTTTCTAACATATTTTTAGAAAAATTAAAATTTTATCTTTTTGAAAATGTCTAGCGATTTCGCTATCTATATTCGAGACAAGCTTTTTGACAGCAAAACATCTGTCGACCATAAAATCTTACATAGTGTAAACAAGAAAGGTGAATTTGTTCTAAAGTTCTGTTTCTGGGAATATGACAAGAACCATAAAACATTAAGCAGAGCAGTCTTAAAATTTGTCAATGACAGACTTGTTGACAGAGATGACGCCGATTGGAAAGATGAAGTCCAACAAAAGTTCTTAGAATGCAAAGAAGGCACATGCGCTGTTCTTGAAGATGAAATAGAAAACAGAATAGAAGAGCTATTAAAGGACAAAGAACTTTTACATAAATATGGTTCTGAGAAATTTGACATAACTCCACCAGAAAAGAAGAAGAAGAGAGAAAAGAAAGAAAAGAAAGAAAAGAAAGTAGAAGAGAAGAAAGAACCTGAACCAGTTCCAGAGAAAAAGAAATTTGACATGTAAAAATAAAATTTTATTTTTAGAACATTTCTGGGTCAATGTCAATGTTCTCTTCCTCTTTAGGGGCAAACACTGGCTTAGACTCTAAAATCTTTTTACCCAATTTACCTTGAACTTCAACTATCTTAGACTCATAATATTCATAGTCGTCTGCTTTCTTTGGTTCATAAGGTATAACAAGTTTGTATGCTTTGCCTTCTTCGAGTTTTGAGAACTTTCTGTCAAAATTTTCTTTGACTGCTAACAAACCTTCTATGTCTAAGTCTTCAAAAGTTGCACCACTTTTTCTAACAACAGCAAACTTAACTGGTGCAATGTTCCAAATTTTGTCAAATGTAGACTTTTCAAAATTGTAGAAGTAAACATTCAAATATGCGAATGGAGCTAACTTATCTTTGACTTCTGTCATGTACTTATTTACTGAGATGAATTTTGCCATCTTTTCTATCGGATAAAAAAAGATTTTTTTTTAAATTTACTCAGAAAAATTTTTCTTTGTATATACGCCGTTCTGAACATCTAAAAGATTTTTGACGTTTGCCAAGAATGTTCGTTTAGAAGCTGCCATATAACCATATTCTTGACAATATTGTTTATACGAATCGTACAATGACCTTTCATCTAAACACTCAAAGTCAGTTTCATCTATGAACAGTTCATATACACTCTTGTTTGCTTCTAACAATGTTTGTCTTTCTTCGGTATGTGGAATTTGTCTTGGATTGAAGTTAGAAATATCTAATGTCATGAAATATGAGAACAAGTGGTTGTAAAAGTCAGATGTCAAAGTTTCTGCTAAGTCGTCAAAATATTCTGTATCTTGCATATGAGAATCTGACGTTCTGACAACTACATATCTTCTGTCAGAACTTTCTAACTTCATCGGAACAGCATTGTTTGAAACCATAATGAAATTTGCAACATTTTCACAAACTCTTTGGTCTTTATATTTTCTTTCAACAACTCCAACTTTGTCTGTTATAAGACTCTTCAAAGCATCTGAGTTTAAAACCTTTGTTGTATCTATACTTTGAAGTTCGTTACATACTATAAGTTTCATATTCTCTATTGAAGAGTTAAATTTACCGCAGATGTTTTCTATGTTTGTCATATTCGGGTTCGAATAGCCCTCTAACAGTTTTGCACAAAATATCTGTAAAGAAAGTGTTCTTACCTGTTCCTTGTTTTCCAATTACAATGAGAGCAGTTTCATTTTTAGCACTTGGATGTTGTAAGATGTTTGCAAACCAACATAAGATATACTCATAGACTCTTTCGTTTCCATTGCATATAATTTCTTTGACATGGTCTAACCAAGCTTCTATAACATTTTTTCTTTCCATTCTACTTGTTCGTATTTATATCCAGTGAAGATAGAATAGAAGTTTGGAGATGGTGTATAAAACTTTATACACGAACTGAAAAATCTTCTAACTTTGACAATAAGATATCCCAAGCATCTAACATCTTCATGCCAACTTGTACGACTTTTATTTTCTTAAGTTTTTGTCTACATTCTTGTTCTGAAACTATTGTCGCTCTTGGTTTGTTAAAGACAACATCCCATTCTTTCATGACATAACATTCTGGGGCAGAGTCAACATAAATGACTAACGTTTCAAATTCTCGACTGCTTTGTTATAGTCTCTAAATGGACACATATTTCTGAATGCTTGGAAGTCATAAAAATCTGAAACATCTATTCTGTACATTTTTATAAAAAAAAAAAATAATATTTTTTTATTCTTGACTTTGTTGTTGCATTTGTTGTTCTTGAGCTATTTGTTGTTGAAGTTGTTCTTGAGCTATTTGTTGTTGAAGTTGTTCTTGTAATACAATACTTTCACCAGTTGCATCTTCCAATTCGAAACTTTCTGCCGTCATTGACAAATACATAGGACATAAAAGTTTTACAGGAACAAAGTTTGCGTCGACTAAGGTTAAGTTTATGTTTGCTAAAGTGTTTGAGTTCACTAAAGCTGAAAACTCTGCATTCGAATGAACAATAGGCAAACCAGAGAATGTGTTGTTTATACGCATGAGTATCTTTTGGTCATAGTAGTTTCTGTCGACATTCGAATAGCACTTTGAACCTAAGTTTGAAACAATATATAAAATAGGTGTACTTAAAGTCAATGGAACAGACATTCCTTGTATGACACCTTTTCCTGTTATAGGAAACTGTTGGTAGTAAAACCAGATATAAGTTTTGTATTATAGCTCATATCGTTTTACTAACTCAGTCGGACATCCAAACATAATGAAACCTGCTCTAGTTGCAGCACATGTTACATCCGTCCTTAAAGTATTAAATAAGTCAACAAAACCTGTTGGTGGTATATCTGAGTAAGTTCTTCAAAGGAGTATTTTTTACCATTCACAACAACAAAGTCTTCTGGTGTCAAAAGAGCAAAACAGGCTTTAGTCGTCATTGTGTTTAAAGTTAGTTTTACAATATCGTCCTTGAGGACTTTGTAAGTTTGTTGTTATAGAATTATATGACTCAGGGTTTTTAGTCGTAATAGTATAAACCATTATGTCTTCTGCCATTTACTTAGCAAATAAATTTTAATGAAATGTTGTGGTCGTCAAATATTTTTATGACGTCTGGGAAACTATACTTTAAGTTCAACGTTTCACCTCCTTTCATAACGTATATCTTGTCAATGACATTATATGAAACACCACAGCAACTAACGTCGGGTTCTATTTCTTTGATGTTTATATCGTCTGCCTCTGTCAAAAGTTTCAATAGTTCTTTCAAAACTTCATGAGGTGCAATGACATATGAGTTCACTTTTACAGGGTTGTGTTCGACCAAGTTTAACATTATACTTAAAGCTTGACAAATCTTCTCCTGAGTTTGAAGTTTGTCTTTCAGTTGTTGGTAGTCGTTTCGAATATCTGCAACAGAACTTAAGTCTCTGCTAACTTCAGGATATGTTGGTTGTTCTTTTACAGGAACTATTGTTATACCATCTTCGTCTTCGTATGGTTTCCCCACTTCAACATCTCTTTCTTTGACATTGACAACAACACTTTGACTGTTTGTTTGAGTTGGTGAATTTAACTTCACATCTGCCACCGCCATTAAACCTTTTGAAACACTCACGCTTCTATTTTTCGGAAATGACATTTTACTTAGAATAAAAAGATGGACGTATTCGAGTATCTCTTCGAATTGAAGCAGAACAAAGTTTACACACACAAACAATACAAATACATTGACAGAATAGTTCTTTACACAAACAATGGAAAATGTTATAGAATAGCAGTCTTTGCTGAACCAAAATATTTTCATAAAGCAAAGAAAGTTGGTATAACTGAAATGGTGAAAGTTCTTGAAGCAGACAAAAATATAACTTCAAAACTTACAGATATTTCTAAAGGTAAGTTTATCTTACAATTTTATGTCAAAACTGGCGTACTGTCAATATTTGACGGAGAGAAGTCAGTTCAAGAACAACTTACTGACCTGCTGCCAAAATCTGCTCGATGGAAGCTGTCGTTATACCAATCTGAGGAGCCCCAGCAGGTTTCATCGAACGAATCTTCAAAAGAGCATCTTCCGTGAAAAGTGCTATTGGTTTTGTAAACTTCTTTGCTTTCAATTCATCTGGACCGTCTCTGTCACCAGTATATTGTATTTGAACTGTACCAACAGTTGAAATACCACCCATAAAGTCTTCTGAGTCAGCAAATGGAATGCCAAGCCAAAAGTTTGAACGGTCTCCATTTGTATATTGAGTTTTTTGAGCTCCTGTATGGGTCCATACTTTCACATATGGCATAATAGAACTTTGCATTTCAGGGTTAATGGTTGTTGTGAAGTTGTTGTTAAAGTTCATAGCATCTAATGTCAAGTTGTATGACCTCATATCCTCAACTGTAGAATATTCTTCTCTTGGATAGTATTT